ACTCCAGAGGTTCTTGAAGCTCTGATTTCAGCTGCAGCCTCAAAGCTCCCCAAAACTCTTGAAAAGTCATGATTACCTATATTGCCAGTACCTGTTTTCTACCAAACCTTTTCTCTTATAACATGGTTGGATAGTGAACTCGGAGTTGTCAGTCATGTGACTGACAACTGTAAAGTCTGCAGTCTTTCATGTGACTGTGTTGCCTATAAAACAGGTATAACAGATGAAAAGACTAAAATGTCAAAGGATGCTACTACTGCAAGTGGAGGGCATGTTGGTGAGTTTCGTGTTTGTTTGTAGTTGCCTGATTCACATGCTGCATCTTTACAATGATGTCCAAAAAGCAGGCATGCAAAATAAAATTCACATTGAAAAAAATACACAAATAATTTATGTATTTAAAAGAAATTATGTGAAATAATAATAATAAAAAACATTATAAACATCCTTCAAGGCATCAAGGCATGGTCAGGTTGGTGCTAAGGATTTTAGCCCAGGATTTTGGGCCAAGGGAGATACAGAAAAAAGACTCTTGTGAGTCTCTTGCCGTTTTAATTTTGCAGGGTGCATGAAGTAACTCAATGTTTTTGTGAACCAGGATAGTTTTCTGGGGCAATCTTTCCCTTCCTGTTGTTTCTACTGTAGGAACCTGGGATCAAAGACCAAACAGACAGACAAACAGGTAAAAATGTTCCCCAGAAAACAGCTTCTGAGGCAGAAGGACTTTTTGGATTATTACTGAACTCATAGTAGAGCGTTGTTAGAGGATGCTGAGCAGCTGCACAGTGTTTTGCTTCAAGGCAAAGCAAGATGAGGCAATTCAATTATAGCACAATTTAAGCAACAATGCAATACAAAGTAGATTACATGATTAAAAGGACAAGTAAATAACAAACGCAGTGTTTCAGCTGTTTTCCAGTTTTCTGGAAGTTTGTTCCAGATTTGTGGAGCATAAATATTGAATGTATCTTTTCCATGCTTGGTTCTGGGGATGCAGAGTTAATCAGAACCAGAAGACCTGAGAGATCTGGAAATTTGATACAACAACAATAGATCTTTAATGTATTGTGGTGCTAACAAAAATATTTTAAAATCTGTCTTCTGAGCTCCAGGGAGTCATTGTAAGGACTTTAGAACTGTGGTAATGTGTTTTATTTCCTTGTTTTAGGGAGAACGTCTGGAAATGTTCTTCAGGTGATAGAAGGCCGAATGGGTTCATTGTTATCTGGTGACATTGTGATGTAGAGCTGTGTATCATCAGCATAGTCATGGCATCTTATTACTGGTAATGAGCTGAACTTGTGAGAGCATGTAAATATTCAATAAGATGGCCTTCCAAAATGGAACCTTGTCGAACCTTGAATATGAATGCTTTGTATCTCTGATGAGTTACCAGTTGTTACCTAGTGACACAAAGATGTTCCTGTTCTTTAGGTGAGCCTCTAATTAACAGTCATGGTCAGTTAATTAGAGGCTCACTCTGCTTCACTCTGCTTAATGGTTGGACATGATGAGAAGGTCAGTAGAAATCAACCCAGATGCCAGGAATAGAATCCTGGAGCTGCTCCAAGTCTGGTTCATCCAGCTGCTCACAGGTGGAGTTCACCTGTTCAGTACTAGTCATGATGGGAAAGTCCAACCATCATAATGTTCAGGACGTAGACGCTTCTGGTCTGAAATGTGTGAATCAATCCCAGAGCAAAAGCTAAAGATCTTGTGAAGATGCTACTGAAGTCGGTGAGACAGAGACATTATCCACAAAGAAACATGTTCTGTAACAACATGGGCTGAAAGGCCAGAGAGCAGGAGGCCATTACTGCAAATGAAGCACAAGAAAAACAGATTGCAGTTTGCAAATCTGGTACACATAGACATGTCCTGTTCATTTATGGAGACATGTCCTGTGATCTGATCAAACTAAACTGGAACTATTTGGACATGATGACCGTAGTGTCATGACTGCTTGGTTGTTTTGCTGCTTGAGGAACTGGTCCACTTTATTAAATATATGGCATCATGAGGAAAGAACATTATGTGAAAAATATTGTAGCAACATCTGAAGACGTCAACCAGGAAGTTAAAGATTTAGTCCAAATGGGTTCCAGACTAACTTTGACCCTCAGGAGCCAAAAGGGATATAAAATGTCTTTAGGATAACAAAGTCAATGCTCTGGCCATCACAGAGCCCTGATCCCAGTCCTAGGCAGAATTTGTGTGTGTGAGCAAGGTGGCCTATAAACCTAACCCAGTTCCACCGGTTCTGTCAGAAGGAATGGACCAGAACTCCAGCAAACTACTGGGAGAAGCTTCTGGAAGGAAACCCAGATGGGTTGGCCCAAATCATCCAGTTCAGAAGATAACTTGCCCCAATACTAAGCAAATGTATGTAAACGTCTGAGCATAGAAAATGTTATTTTCAGGTTTTAAACCTGAATTGAACCACAAGTCAAGTCATAACAACCATAACAGATTTCATGCTTTCAAATGTTTTCTATTTTGTATTGAAATGATCAGAATTTTAAAAATCCATAGTTAATTGTTTTACTATGACTATGGGTAGAAATATAATAACAAACATGTCATAAGTTTATATGTTCGTGTTGGAAGTACAGATGTTGCCATTTCCTCTGTCAGACAGACATCACAGAATCACTGAGAGCTAATTGGCTAATGCTAACATGCAAACATAAGAACCAAATACCAAGTGAAGGCTCAAGCTCCAACCTTTAAAACTATGAAATTACATTGAGGGGTTTTATGCTGCCTTATTTTAATTTTTTATTTTGTTATTAGTGGGAGATGGAGCAAAGAGGGGCAGAAAAGCTGCAACGCTGAATTCCTCTCTGACCATCCTGAGGTTGCTTACTCTAAATTCATGTATGATATGATGAGGTTTTATGGGATTTTCTGTCTGGAATCTGAATGTTGGTGAGTGAAATCGGTTTGTGTGTGGTGTGTCGCTCCTCCCGTGTGGCTGGACACGACACACATGGTACGATCAAACCGGATTTTTTATCACTCAGGTTTTGAAAATCGGCCAACAATTCTAAAATTGTGTCATGTGATCTAAGCTTAAGTAAATTAAAAAAACAATATAGTTAATGTGCTTGAACTCAAAATGAACTTAGTTACAAACAGTCAAAATAAAGAGCTTTTCTGTCAAAATTTCAGTTTTCTATTAATAAAGATATTTTAATATGGAATGTCAGCAGATGTTTTGGTAAATAACCCAAGTGGAATCGTTCTTTAATTATTTCTTGAGTGTGAAGCCAACTTTAGCTTTGTATTCCCCCATTTATCCAGTTCCATTCTGTATAAATAAACTAAACTATAAAGCAATATTTAGCACAGATGGTTTTAATTTAGACATCCTTAGGGGTTAGTAGACTGTTTTGGTGATTTAATATATCTTCCTGCCCGTAATGCAGGGAGCCCTCATACTACTACCCTGCATATCGCTTTGCTTCACTTTTGGCAAGACACACAGTGCAAAACTGAAGCCTGCAAAGAAAGGCAGTGTGGTTTGAAAGGCAGGATTGTCATTCACATGAGCAGTTTTGTGTAGTTGCATTCACTTCAAATTATAATTATTAAAAAATGTGCCTGTGTGAAGATGCTAATACATGTGTTTGAATAAGTTTAGCTCCAAATGTACTGGACTGAGAAAATGTTAGAGTAGGACTGTTATATTTTGTGAGTTCTAAAATGGAATGTGTGTATCTGTACTGAAGAATCCATGAAGGTGTAACAGTAGTTTTGTCTATATTTGAGAAATACTCAAGTAATTTTTTTCTGACACAGGTATGTGGATCTGTTTGCAACCATTTCTTTTAGATCATTTGGGGAAAAACTGTAAGAGTAAGATTTTTTTTTAAGTCCGACTCAAAAGAATAAAATGTGTGTACTTGTACTAATTTGAAGATGATTAAAAACTCCTATAGGTTTTTCATCTCTGACTTCAACTTCAAAGTTACAAGGCACAAATACCTTTGCACCAAAAATACCTCCATAGGTCCGCCTGCTAAACATTTGGCATTCTTAAGGAGAAAATATCACTGCAGCAAAGGCACTAAAACAGGTTCTACCAGAAGTACATTCTTTACAACAAACTACAGTTTCTGTATATCTGTTCCACTGTTCAGAAACTAAGGAATCACATTCATTTCGGATATTCCATATCCTTGGAACTTTTTCACATGTTGCTGCATGCAAAAACATCTAGTGAAGTATATGAGGCAACAATGAGACAAAATTAATCATTCAAAACTCTATGTGAGGTTGAATACTAATAATGCACTTCATCTCACTGGTATGTGTTGTTCTGTGATGATCTATCACATAAAATCCCAATAAATATGTTAAAGTTTGGTGTTGTCGTGTTGCAAAATGTGAAAAAGTTCAAGGTGGATTAATGCTTTTGCAAGGCACTGCATTCAAAGTGATAGTTGTTATTTTACATCATCTGCCTTTAAGTGAACACTTAGACAAAACCAGAAGCTCCAGTCAAACACCGGCTCCAGCTTTTAAAGAGTTTACACCTGCTGAATGAAACAAGCTAGTCAAAGACAAAACCACAGATTCATTCAAGGATCTCATCGTCTTCGTCCAGTTTAATAATACTGAAAGTTTTGGTACTGTTAGAGTTAGAGTTATTAAAGATAACAGTTAAATATGAATTAATACCTAAATTTAATTGCATGGTGGTGAATGCAGGTCAAGAAGCTATTGTTCCTCAAACTGGGGACAAAAAGCACAACACACTCAGAATCCAGTGTTCTGCTTCACTTACACCATTCATCATTTCACAATCGGATTTTTTGTGTAAAATGGGGCTGAATGCACAATAATAACCCTGCAGTCAAAAATAACACAATTGTTTGATAGAAATCACTGCGAACAATGCAGATTTGAAATTCCCCTACAAAAATTTCCTGACATCATTGTTTTATTTCTGTCTTTAAACAATTAACATTTTCAAAAGAATCTCTTTTCTCTTGCAGTTACACTACAGCAACGAGTGCAAGTTCAGAGAGAAGCTCCTTGCCAACAACTATAATGCCTATGAATCGGCCGCCTACCCAAGGATGTTCTTGGGCCTGAGTAAGAATGGCAAAACAAAAAGAGGAAACAGAGTGTCACCAGCGATGACAGTGACACATTTCTTGCCAAGAATCTAGTGAGCTGATAAATCTACTTCAAGACAATATGGGAGGGAGCCAATCAGGAGAGGGCCGGGGGGAGGGGGGAGGTTTTCTCCAAGCTGTGATGCACTTTCACTCCAAGCCTTTTGTAAGTGTATCATATTTGATATTTTACTTTGTACATATTCAGTTTTTTATTAATGTTTAACATCTGTTTTGTATTTTTATAGGAGTGGATGTCTTTTCACTGAGGGACAGTCAATATTCTAGAAATTTTATTTATGTTTTCATTTCTTATTTATCAGACATTTGCTGCTACTGAATGAAACCCTGTCTTTCAATGTATTCTTTGCACAGATGGAAAAATGATTACCTTTTTTTTCTTTTTTCTTTTATTTTACCTTTATTTAACCAGGAAAGTCCCAGTGAGATTAAAAACCTCTTTTTCAAGGGAGTTCTGGTTAAGAGGCAGTAAAGTAACTAATGTACTCTGGTGTATGGCATTAGTTACACAATGCCATGGCATTAGTTAGCCAATGCCATACAAATAATTACTAAACAGTCACAATTTAAGGAAGTCATCTCTAGATCTCTCAGTCTTGATGTAAAGGTTTCAGTTAAAGAAGTTCTGTTAATTTCCAGTTTTTGTTGGGGGGTTTTAAACGCCCATTTCTGTTTGGGGAAATAGATCAGTGATCTTGACTACCTGATATCTCAGCAGGTTTATATGTATGACATTGTTCAATTGGGATTGGTTTGAATCAGAATCTTCTCAGAACTGAAATAAGATGTGTGTCTTCGTGTGAGAATGTGGCACTTATTGCCCAACACTTCAAACCTTATGCTTCTCCATTTCACCTGAGGAAGACCTGGAGGTGTTCTGGAGACATTGCCTTTAACTTAGAGCTTAGATGGATTCATGTGCCAGCATCAGAGACAAGTCCTCTTACTTACAGTTCATTCTCTTTTCTTTAGCCTGATAGCATCAGAAAGACAACTCCATCCTGGTGACACATACCTACAGCGATTCCTCTTTTTGAGAGTTTTACTCTAATATAGCACCTGCACTGTTACTGACTATAACTGAATTAGTTAAGCTCATAATGCTAACCAAATAATCAGCATTATTTTTCTCACTTTAAAAACTCTACTCTCCCATGCAGACATATCTTACTATCAATGTACTATATTTGTTTTTAGTTTTTGCTGCAGTAATTTTACAGAAGCTTACAGTTTATTTGGGGCCTGCTGTCAGCAGAGCCTCTGACTAGATATGATGTGGAAGCATCAAACAAACCAAGCCTTTGAATCTTGTAAAAAACAGAGCTGCACCACTCAGAGCCAGGAAGAGGGGCTTAGTGCTGTTAATCAAGCTTATGTCTATGCTGCTAAATGTGCTAATGGCAGAAAAACAACTTTCCGTTAAAGGAAATCTGTTAGCTGATGTGTTTGGTGGCCATGCTAACTAGCCTGAGAATTCATGACAGGCTCCATTGTGGTGAAGCAGCTGTAGTGCAGCAGAAAGCAAAGGCGAGGGTGTGAGCAGCGAGCACACAAGACTTATTGACAGCACTAACCTCCTCCTTCTGGCTGTGATTGGTTGTTTCCGACCTAGCGTATTTCTGCAGATGGCTGTAGCATCACAGGGAGAAGCAGAGCAGCTTGATTTTTTTCACAGATTATCTGTCTCATTTTAACTGGCCTTAAAATGGCTGACACCATGTCAGTGTCACCATGTCACTGACATGGTTTCATAAGTTTCTTGTAAGGAAACTTAGAGCACACTAGAGGGAGATTGAAATATCATAAATCAGGAGCTGGATCAACTTTTTACTGTGATGTAATGACATGACTTTCTCTGAGAGGGGAACAGCATTAAAGCTCTGAAAGTGGAAAAGTGTTCTGTCCAGCATAGCACCAGCACTATAGGCTCAAGTTGGGCGAAAAGGAGCATGTGTGGCTCTGGAGCCTAATTGAAATAGTATCGTGTTACTGAGAGAGAGGGACAGAGAAGAAAGAGGGAAATGGACAAGAGAGGAGGAGGGGAGAGTTAACCCCACAGTCTCCACTGTGTCTGTTTATAGCACTGCCAGAGGGGTGAACTCTGAACTTTTCTGCCGTCAGTCTTAGTCAGAGCCCTGTGTCCAACAGTAGGGAGAGGAATCCTCTTTGACATGATTTAAGTGGAAAATTTGGGAGTTTATAGGCAAGGTCAAAGAGCTGAAATGCAACAGTCAAGTAATAGCCTTGACCTGGGATAAGACTATTCTTATTTCAAGCAATGCATTATTGTCAGGCAGCTGTCAAACAGGAAAAATTGCTCTGTATCATTAGAACAACTTTGCCGACTGGAAAAATCTGCAAACTTGGTTTGTGTTGTTCGTAACTTTCCATAAGAGCATATTATACAAAAGGAATGATTTATAAATATGAAGTTCATTAAGAACTTATAATTGTCTTTTCCATCCTAATACCTCTATCATATAAATATAGACACGCACACGTACACACACAGAGCATTGTTGGTAGCACTCTGTTAATGAAGGAAAAGCCCACAGTGGTTACTAAAATAACTTGAAATTGACAAAAGTAATAGTTAATAAAAATGTTCTAAGAATTAACCAGTGAAATCAGACATTCCTTTTGAAATGCAATTCAACAAATGAAACAGACCAGAATAAAACTGATTTTACCTGTAACTTAATATTTTGTTGCTCAATCTTTTGAGGCAATCACTGCAATCAAACCATTTCTGTAACTATCAGTGAGACTTATGCACCTGACCACAGGTATCCTGGTCCACTCCTCATGGACAAACCGCCCCAGCTGCGGAAAGGGAAAGCCTTCTCCAGATGTTTCAGCTCCACAGATGTTCAACAGGATTTAGATCAGGGCTTATAAAAGGCCAGTTCAGTATAGTCCAATGTTTTGCTCTGGGCCATTTTTAGTCAGCTGTGTGTTTTGGGTCATTATCCTGTTGGAAGACCCATGAGCAAGCTTTCTAACACTAGGCACCACGTTTCTCTCCGGAATGCCTTGATAATCTTGAGATTTCCTCAAACCTGCACAGACTCAAGTCAAAGCAGCCCCAGAGCATAACACAGCCTCCTCCATGTTTCCCCAGAGTTATTTTTTTTGGCAAAGAGTTGATGAGCCAGTTCCAGTTTTCTTCTGCTTACTGAGGACATTCTACCAGAAACTTTGTAACTTGTCAACATGAATTGGGGGAAATTCCAGTCTCACTTTTTATGCTCGCTTTTCTTTTTGGTCGTCTCCCATGAAGTCCACTTTGATTCTAACAATTATGGATTTGACACTGATGTACCTTGGCCTTGGAGTTGACCTTTGATTTCTTTGGAGGTTGTTCTGGGCTCCTTGGTTGCCGTCCTTATCCTTCTCCTCAATTTGTCATAAATGTTCCTCCAGATTTCAGTAAATTTTAATTTTTATCACTTTTGTCAGTTACAAGTTTTTCATGGAGGACTGTGGGTTTTTATGGATATTAACAGAGGTGTGCATATATCTATATTTGTATATATCTATAGATGGATAGATAGGGAGGCTATAATTATAACATAAATTACTATGTAGTTAATAAAAAAAGCTCTTCGTTCCAAAGGAATGTGAAATTCAATTTGATAGTTTGAAAAAATGAGTACAAAATGAGTATTTGTTCAGTACAAACATCACACTATTTACAGTCAGTGACAATAAAACTGTTCCAAACAGCAGACATCTTCAGAAACATGCTACTGATTTTTACCCCCACTTCACACCTGCTCAGCAGTTTAACTCTGACTGCTCCTCTGGTGGCTCTGAGGCGTAACAGCAGAGGGTTCATTTCTGTAACTATGCTTACATAACAAACGAAAGGCATTGAGGACATTCTCAGAAAGAAAAGAATTTTTGACAAAACACAACCCATTATAATCAATTAATTTAGTTTGATTAATATATCAGATATATGTTATAATATGTTAATATACTCAATATATTTGAATATATTGAACATTAATGTTATATTATAACATTAATATGATATAATATATTTAATATACTTAAATACCTAAGCAATTTCCCCATGGGGATCAATAAAGTCTATTCTATTCTATTCTATTCTATTCTATTCTATTCTATTCTATTCTATTAAATTATATAAAGGAGTTGGAAAGAAGCACATTAACATTAACTAACATCACATTTACATTGAAGCAAAGATATCTGTTTTCCCATTTACTACCTGAAGGACTGAAAATCTACAGCTTTATCTATAAGACGTCTTCAAGTAATTGTTATAAAAATTCTCCTCATTAATCAGCTATATGTACTAACTGTCCTCATTGTTAGAACACATTCACTAATATATATTATTTATGAGATACAAGCAGTTGCCCAGTTTTGGAACAAGATATTTCCACTTGTGCTTGTAAACTTTGGATTTTACTAAACCAACACTTCATCCCAGTCTTTGATTTAGTTTCCAGTGTGAGCTGCTGTCCTGACCTACTTCTGCTTACTGTACATTTGCGTCGTCTACCCTCCCTCCTTCTAGCATTTGTCTCTGTCTCTCTGAGTCCTAGAGGTTTACTGCAGGCCGGGCCGGCTCTGGTGGCGATGTTGTCCTAGTTGTGCCTTGTCACGTTCCGGCTATCTTTACCCCGCGACATGCTTTTAGAAAAAATAATCATGCAAGAAATATTTACAGACAGCTGTTGAACCATATATGCTAGACTCTGTAACTCAATGTTTTTCTGTATATATTTTGAAAGTGAAGGTGCTAAAAAGGGCTGGCAGTTTGAAATGAACAGAGCTGGTTTGGAATGGATGTCTGAAAGTTTAGGGTTCTTGATTTGCTCGACTTTGTGTGATCAAGGTTTTCAGTCCATTTTTAATAACAGCAGTTGCAGTGAGGTTGTAGATAGGTAGTATCTTATTTTCTCTATTTTTTGTGTCTTTTTTTGGGAAAGACATTTGGAACCTCCATTTCAACATTCCATAATAATGGTGCTAATAGTAGCACCCTGCTCTTGTTAGGGACGACGGTGCTTTCCCTTCTGCTTTTAGTAGCTAGTAGTGATAATAAATTAGCAGAGCATCCAGCCACACTGCATGCACACGCTAGCTATTCAGGTGCAAATAGCTTAAACAAATCTCATGCAAACTGTTTCTCTAGTGACTTAAGGCCAATCCTGCAAACCGCTGTGGAAATCCAGAGTGATCTGAACTCTGCAGGCTAACTGTGAAACATAAGTTCAGCTTTCAAAACAAGTGCTAAAGTTACAGTATGCAGCTCCTGAAACACCTCCTGCTACAGCATAGTATTCAAGGACATATGCTATGTACAAACAGCATTTGTACACATATGCTGTGTCTGGTGCTCAGAGCTGGGCTTGCTGCTCAGCAGTATCCCTACTTTGCATGACGTGCAGCATGTTTACCTGTCTGCCCTCCAGTGACCCTGGGCCAGCCCTTTATCCCACCTGATCATTTGGTTATCCAGCTGCAGCCCCAGCACTGCAGACCAGCTCCTTAATCTACAGCCTGCAAATGGCAAAGCCCACCTTTGCAAAAAGAGCCACAGGCTCCACTGAGTGTGGCTAGTAGCATGAGGCTGACAGAGTCACTTCAGCCACATCACATCATTTCAGCCACATCACATCATTTCTGCCCTACCAAGAGGTTTATGAGTAGAAACTCATAAATCCAGACATCTGAATCTTCCATCTGAAAAGTCTCTGGTCAAAAATAAAATCTTATTTTGAATTTAACTGTAGTGAAAGAAATGTTAAAATGAATAAACTAGCCAAACCATAGCCATAGAGAAACAAGGAAGCAACTTTTTACATAAAAAATTAGAGCGACTTAGTAGAAAAGAATTACAGTTATATTCTAATTTTATGAATCCTTGAAAGTGAACCTTTTTATCTGGTGATTCATCAGGAGTGAAGAGTAGTAAAATGGCTGAATTTCTCTTTCCACATTGTTTTTTCACATCTGTGAACTATTTAATGTTATGTAGCCTACTGTATGATTTTCAAATTTCATTCAGGGAAAGTGATGAAAACTGATTCTTAATCTCAAGTGGTCTTACAGCAATTTTGTATCTTCTATTTGTATTCTATAAGTTGTCCTGTAGTTTTATACAGGTCTCTAAATGTACCTATTTGTGTGCTGTGCACATGGCTAACGCACACCTCAAGGGTTGCTGATAATTAAAACATATTTCTCCTAATAGTTTGTGTCATTGTTTCTTGTATCTTGTTCAGAATGTTGGACTGAGTTGTCATCCTTAAGTTGCTGCACAAATGTACTCATTTTGTAAACGATGAAGAGAATTTCAAATTAAGACTTACTGTTTCAAATGTGGCTGCCAGTAAGTGTCACATGCAGATTGCCAGTGTTTATGCCATAATTTTATGTATGAACCCACAGCCAAATCATGATTGGTGTTCAAAGGTGGAGGCTGCAATTACTGGTCTAGAAAGAAATGTCCAGGATCTTTTACAGGGACTTTCTTCTTCTAGGGTTTCTCAACCCCAAGCTAGGCCCTCAGTTATGCGGCCACTCCCTCTTGCTGTCACCCCCACAGTTAACGTTAACAACGAACCTAAGATTCCCCCCCAGAGCATTTTGATGGGGATCCTGAACAGTGCAGACCTCTTCTAACCCAGTGTTCTCTGCTTTTTGAACTCCAGCCCTCTGCCTTCCCTTCTGAACGGGCCAAGGTGGCCTATACAATCCTCTACTATCTGGTAAGGCAAAGCAGTGGGGAACGTCTGAATGGGAGAATGATGCTGACAGCTGTGACTCATTTTTAGAGTTTTCTGATGAGCTGAAGAGGGTTTTTGATCCAATCCATCCTGCCAGGAGACTGTTTTCTCTCAAACAGGGCTCTGACTACATCATCAGTTTCCATGCTTTGAAGTCCAGCCTTTGGAATAATGAAAGCCCTATCAAATAATGAAGCCCTATTTGACGTTTTTTTACCAGGGCCTGTCCGATGATATCAAGGATGAGATTGCTACCCGTGACTCTCCCAAGACCCTCGAGGCCTTAGAAAGGCTTGCCTCGCGGATTGATCAACATCTTCGTGAAAGAAAGAGGGAGAGGTCTTCATCTAATTATCAAAGAAGGATCTCAACTGTCCAGGTCAGTCCATGCAGCATGCCACAAGCCTCCACGCCCCCCACCTGTTAGCGCTGAAGAGTCCATGCAGTTGGGTAGGACCAGGCTCTCTGCTGAAGAGAGCGAGAGGAGGTTCAGAAATCGCCTGTGTTTCTACTGCGGAGAGAAAAACCATCAAGCTAAGCTCTTAACTGTCCGTCAAAAGGACAGGCTCAGAAAAGCTCGGGGGGTCTTTGCTGAGCCCTATCCTCAAATCTCAGAAACCTCCCCACAATCAGTGCACCATCAGATTTCCTGACTCTTCTGAAGGGATGGAAATTCCTGTTTTCATTGATTCTGGGGCTGATGCTGACTTTATTGATGTCAGCCTAGCTCATAAGCTCTCACTGGAGTTGGAACTTCTAGAGAAACCACGTGAGATTTTTGCTATTGATGGGCACCTCATTGATCAAATAACTCACTGCACTAAGCCTGTTTCTGTGCTGATTTCAGGAAACCACCACGACAGGATCACATTTCTGCTGACCAGGTCTCCAGAGATTCCAGTGATTCTGGGACGCCCTTGGCTCATCAAACACAGTCCAGTCATCAATTTGTTCACTGGTGAGGCTTCTTCTTGTCTCACTTCTTGTTTGAGGGAAGCCCCTATCATGACATCTCCCTGTGAGGTCAACCATGATTATCCAGATCTGTCTAAGGTCCCTAAGGTTTATCATGATTTACGTGAGGTATTTAACAAATCGAAGGCCACTTCTCTGCCTCCCCACAGAGAGTACGACTGTGCCATTGACCTTCGCCCTGGAACCACCCCACCTAGGGGCAGATTGTATTCCATTTCTGGTCCTGAAAGAAGGGCAATGGAGGAATACATTTCTTACTCCCTCAAGGCAGGACTAATCAGAAAGTCTTCTTCACCAGCAGGTGCAGGATTCTTCTATGTGGGCAAGAAGGATGGGTCTCTTAGACCATGCATCGATTATCAAGGCCTTAACGAAATTACAGTCAAGAACAGGTACTCTCTGCCTCTCATGACTTCTGCTTTTGAGTTCCTTCAAGGAAGTACTGTGTTCACAAAACTGGATCTGCGTAATGCCTACCATCTGGTCCGAATAAGAGAGGGAGACGAAGGGAAGACGGCTTTCAACACCCCTTCAGGGCATTATGAATACCTGGTCATGCCCTTTGGGCT